TCTCACAATCTCTCTAAATCAAAGAACAATCTCTTTAATCTCCTTTAAGAATACAATTTGATTATTTTAGAAACCCTCAATAATCCTATTTATATCTCTAACAAGGTGGATGACAATCTTGTAAATAACCAGTCCAAATAAATCAGGAAATTACATCAAAGCAGAATCCCATACAGAGCTGGAAAACCTGATCCAGTCGACCAGAATAGATGTTTCGGTCGACCGGCCAGAGGGATGAAAAATTCCAACGTGATGTACCCCTAAAAACTCGTCTCGATCGAAGAAAACTGTCGGTCGATTGAATCCTACTCCAGGTCGGATCCGAAGAAACTTCGATTGACCAACCAAAAGACACCAATATATCCTTCGTCGTGTGAACGTTTTCGGTCGACTGACCAGTTTGGTCCAATCGACTGACCAGCGCCTGAGTGCCATTTCCAGATTCCTATTGTCTTCTTGGTTTTGACCGCCTTTACCGCCTTCAACGACTTCGTCCACGCTTCTATTCTTAAGATATCATGAGAATCATTTATTCTTAAACTCCCATGAGGATCGCTAAGCTCCTGAAGTAAGGAAGAAGATACACCCGTATCACTAATAATCCAAAAATTAAAAAAACTAATTTTACCTTGAATTATGAAGCAACAACGTCAGCAAAGATCAGATTTGAATAGCATCAGCTTAAGATCAGACGCCCCTCCCCCAATTTCTTCGAATACAACCACAAAGAAGGTCACGGGAGTTTATGGTGAGAGGAGAGCAAGGAGGTAACAATAGCTCAGCGAAGAAAACAACGAGGAAGACCAAAATCTAACGTGGCCAGGATTTCGCCGATTTCACTCGGTTGGAGAAGGAATTGTGGGAGAGAAAAAAAAACTAGATGGTAGCGATTTCCTCTTTCGTTTCTCTCTTCAGCCCTCTGGGAAAAAAAATAGCAGAAATGAAATAACCGACGTGAAAGGGGAAAAACCAACATGGAGGGGTTAAAAACGTTTTCCACGAGGAATAAAAGCGAACCAAACAGCCCCTAAGTAGGGAAAATTTCTCCCATTTCCTGACATACCTTGGACTGGAAATGGATTTTGTGCTCCTCTTTGGGCTTGATGCAAAACCGGACAAATTCTAGCTACTAACACCCCTCCCTCAGCCGAGACACAACAACCCCTCCCCCACTAGAGCCACTGTTCCCCATCCCATCAAACATGAAGGGCTTTACCCAAACAAGGAGGCCATATGGCCCATACTGCTCCCTTCCTTCCCATCCCATCGAGGTAGGAAAAGAAACTAAAGGGGTGTTTGGTTCAAGTTTTTGTTTTTTTTCTTTTTGGATATAGGGTGAAGTTTAAATTCTAGGACGAAAAATAGGTTTTTTTTAGAGTTTTTGGATTCCATAAACTTTGTTTGTTTCAAATAAAATTTTAGAATATAGAATCCCTAAATTGTAAAAAAAATACTCAAAATTTAGAATTTATAAAATCCTAACATTGAGAGAGGAGTTAGGGTGGATCTCTGACAAAAAAAATTCACTTCAGCAAAACTCCTATCGTGATCCCGAAAACAACTAGCGCTCCCAACCCTAATGTCAGCGCTTTCATTTTCCTCTCCCTCATCTTTTACTCTCCTCCTCCATTTCCCGCTACCAAACCCTATCGTTCTTCATCCCAAATCAACATATTTTCGACCAAATCTTACCCGCCTTCTCTATTTCTGCTTTAACTTTGGTTTGCAAGAAGATCAGAATATCAAAATATAGATTGGGTAAAATTAATTTGGGGATTTCTGTTGATTTGGTGATTCTAGGGTTCTAGGCGATTCTCTCCGACCCTACAGGTAAATCTCGCACCCCCTCTCTCTAATTAGAATTTCAATTGCTTTGATTTGTGTTAGAGTTTTATAATTAGGATTGGGGTTGCTTTTGATTGCTTCGATTCTGCTGTTACTTTCGATTGCGTCGATTTGGGTTAGGATTTCGAAGAATTCTAGTGGGTGATCATGGTTATTTGGCTTGATTCACCCCACAAATAGGCGAGATATATTGACCTTCAGTTGAATTACATATACTTGTTTCCAAAATATCGCCAGATTCTACTACTGAATAAGAGTGGTTTTATTAAAATACACTTTGAGTTGGTTTCTTGCATCCTTAGTTATTTTGCTATTTGTTGTATTCGGCTTGTTGGTTTTTTGCTGGTTGCTTGCATCCTAGTTTGATGCTTGTTGCTTGTGGTTTTGAGCTGGTTACTTGCATCCTTGATTATTTTACTGGTTGTTGTAATCAGCTTGTGGGTTTGAGTTGGCTAAATTGCATCCTGGGTTATTTTACTGGGTTTTGAACTGGTTGCTTGCATCCTTGGTTATTTTGCTGGTTGTTGTATTCAGCTTGCGGGCTTTTTGCTGGTTTCTTGCATCCTAGTTTGATGCTTGCTGCTTGTGGGTTTGAGTTAGCTGCTTGCATCCTTGGTTATTTTACTAGTTGTTGTATTCAGCTTGTGGGTTTTTTGCTCGTTGATTGCATCCTAGTTTGTCGCTTGCTGCTTGTGGGTTTGAGTTGGCTGCTTGCATCCTTGGTTATTTTACTAGTTGTTGTAATCAACTTGCGGGTTTGAGCTAGCTAAATTGTATCATAGGTTATTTTGTTGGGTTTGAATTGGTTGCTTACATCCTTGGTTATTTTGCTAGTTGTCGTATTCAGCTTTTGGGTTTTTTGTTGGTTGCTTGCATCCTAGTTTGATGCTTGCTGCTTGTGGGTTTGATCTGGTTGCTGTAATCATCTTGTTTAGTTTGTAAGCGTTATGTTGGTTTCAGCTGTGCTAATAGTATTGCTGAATTTTTCTTTAAAGGCTATAAATTGTTGCTATTTTTGGTTTCAGCTATGATGATTAGTCATATTTTGATAATGGCATCTACAATAGGATTTCATTGTTTACAGGAGGCGTTCAATGATAAAAATGCAGTCTAGATTGTATTTTCAATTTTTAGATGATGCAATCCATTATTTGAATGCAATCTACAATGCAATTTCATGACATAGGTGTTAAAAAATAACCATTTTTGGAGCCTCTACATTATCATTTGTCTTTGATTTTTATTTTTAATATTGTCTCGGGTTAGTTTTGGAGTTTTGAATTTGCTAGAATTAAATTTTTATTCTAGCTTCAATACATTTTGTAAGTACAATGCATAAATTATAGAAATACAAAAAAATTAAAAAGAGTACACACATTTTTTCAAATTAGAATTTGACGTTTTGAAACTTTCAATTCTGAATTCAATTTCCTGATTTTGAGTTTTTGCCTATCTTCAACTAGTACTTTCTTGTTGCCTTTGTCGATACTCTTCATGCAATTACCATAATCATGAGCCCATTGAAAAAATTACATTCTTTCTTTGGATACTTAGCGCAACTCCAATAGTAACGAACAATATTTTTGCCATTTTTGCATTACTTCAAGGGTGTCGGGATTTTACAGTTGCACCATTTTGCATCTCCATTGTAGTTACTGAATGATGATGTGTGGAGGCTTCTTGCTTGCAAAAAACTACTCATGCAGTTAGTGAAATTGAACTATTTTTATAGTCATTGTCAAAATATGACCATTTATAACCGTTGGAGTTTATATTTGAGTTGCTATGGTTACCCCAAATGCTATACAATTGTGTTTGTTCTCCTGTGGGAGATAAGCTTGCCAAGGTTCTTATATTTTCCTATCATTCTTTTGGAAGTCCTAAAGTTTATTTGGTTCAACTATAGATTTCAAATTCTAAAATTTGTAATACTACAATTTGATTTTGAACCAAACAAAATATTACAAATTGTAGTATTTGTTATTCTACAATAATGATGAACCAAACAACATTTTAGAAATGCTGAGTCATGTTCCAAAACCTATAGATTTCAAATCCCCTATGGAATTACAAATTTTATAATTTTGGCATTTGAACCAAACAACTACAAATAGAAAGACTGAAACTTCACTATTCATAGATTTACCAAAATACCATTGAATCCAAGAAACATAGTGAACATATCAAAAACGCAAACCTAAGGACGATTTGATGAATAGAAATGTTAAATTTGGCTCACATTTTCCCTGAAATACCCTCGATGTCAGCTCACAACAGAAGATAGAAACAACAGATGACATTTTCTTTCAGCATTTTTCCAATTAATAGGATGCTCCATAGAACAATAAATGACATTTAAATAAAGGGATATCCACGGTAATGAAGAAAATTTTATATACTGTAGCAATGGGATCATGTATGTGTACGTGTCAGAGTATTGCACAACCATGAAACATATCCAAAAGAGATCAAATTGAACTATGAATATTGAGAATTTGAGATGGATGAGCAATTGTATAAGAACAAAATTTTAGCAAGGATGACATGAGAAGAAACATAATCACTGTAGGCGAATTGATGAACAAATAAAGGTGAATAATACAGGATCATAACTGAATGATGAATAGCCAAATGGGGAAGGAAAAAACTCCAACTGAAGCTTAACACTATGAAAGGCTAGTTCGCTTAGTTCATAATATCATCCTTAATACAAATAAATTCATACAAACAATATGTAAGAACTAAAATAGGACATTGTTCATGTTGGTTTTATTGGAGTACATTACATAATTTCATTAGAAGGAAGAAGAAACAACATACTTCCGCTAGTATAACAAATCATTTAAAGATAATACATTATACAGTTTCGATATGAGCATTGGGGAGATCCAAAAGGACCAGAGAGGAGGATAGAAATAGAATTTTGTGCCATGTAGATACTCGTGCTAGCGAACAGACTAGTAATGAGCGTAAGACCTGTAAATAACTGCATAATTTGCTTCGAACTCCTTGCTGTTGCAACCATATTTCAAGATGAAAATATCAAACTAGTTCAGGCATCAAAGAATTAAATTCAATATTTATCTGTATTTTTCTCTTTTTGCTAGGAAGAATGCCAAATTTCCAACAACAAGAAGACACAACAACATTTTAGATCATTGTTAAACCAAGATTTTGATTGACCAATATTTCACTTAGCATGTGCCATATCTTTTTACGCACGCTCTCTTACATCCTTGTCACATTTTGGAGAAGCACATTTACTCTGAAAACTTTTAATGGGAGTCTCATGCGTACATCATTTACAACCTAAACTGACTATTGACCAATAATCATGGCAAGGTTGGAAGCTCAACTTTATCGAAAGAAAAGAAACTAACACGCCCATGATCAACAAAGCAGAACTTCAAAGGGATACCATTGCACTTTCGGTGGAGCTTTTCTACTTCTACTCTTGAGGGTGGGCTATCCCTGCATGTGTAACTCTAAATAAATCAGCCAACAAGTCAACTACAGAACTAAAATTTCGGGAAATTAGGTAATTGTTCACTCATGCTTCCAAGAGACAACATGAAATTTGAAAGTATTAAATCCACCTTTCATACCTCAAAATAAAGAGCAGAAAAATAGGTCCACCAGGAGAAGATTTTCTGAAATTTCTGTTAGGCAAATACACATCAAATGCTTGCTTCATTTCCACAATCTGGATATCTATGAATCTCGTAGATATTTCTTCTTCCACTTCTTGATTAAATCTTCCATTTGAGTCCTGTACGTCCTCCAAAGAATTTGAACTGTAGCAACTCTTCACAGTCCAAGGGATACCATGGCGACCAACAATATAACCAAGAGACTTTAAGTGTCTGTAAGCCTCAAATGCCTCCCAAGAACACTCAGCCTTTCCACTTGTAATCTTCTTGTAAATATCATTCATATTAAGAGTTGTTTTATTGCCATCTGAGAGTAGTAGTGCCCCTCTTTCCGCAAGAAACCTATAACAAATATAATAAGTTGATTTACTAAAAATTAAGCAAGAGATGTGAAAATGCACCAAAACTGGAACTTGGAAATTGGAATTGTTGGAACCTGAGTTATTGTATACACCATCATATTGATAAATACAACTCCATTAAAACAAGAACATGCTTAAGGATGAAAAAGGCAAAAGATTCAACTTCTCACACTATCACATATCATGTGCCCATAAGCCCAATGGCGCAAAGTAAGAAGTGAGACGTACTAAGTGTAGCGTGTTGTTTTTCTCCAACCACAACCAAAATAGACTACTTGATGCTACACTTGTTGAGTCTTTGGCTTTACCATATAAACAACTCAATGTCTTACTCTCCTACCGATGTGGGACTAAACTCTAGGGGAATCATATATACTAATATCAATCAGAATATGCTAATTGTGTCCAGTTGTCAAAAAGAAAAAAAATCATCAAAACAGTGTTAAATGGTGTTATAATATAGCAAGTCAAGGTAGACTTTTATTACACTAATTTTTTCATAAACGTTGTATGAATCAACTACGACATAAGACCTGCTGAATTTGTAAAGCTATATCTCTACCACAAGCTTTCATACCACCTCAAAAATTAACAACTCCTATGTGTTTAATAAAACCGTCCACCCAAAGCAGGTTTTATTGGCTAACAGTGTATAACAACACTCTAATATCCTTATGACAAATGAAAAAGACATTTACAAGATGGAATAAATTTTATACAAATAAATGGATCCGATATGAAAGGTGGAACAAGTAACAGATATGAGGTTTGAACTTAGATCTCCTAACATCTTAAAATATCATAAGCCAATGTCGTTGACATGCTAATAAGATAAAAATATACCACTAAAAATAGGAATGACATATTTGAGACTTTATGCAATATAATATAAAAAACAAATTATGATTCAGATTGACTATGCTATTAAACTTTTTATTATGCTGATAAAAGTTTAATAACCATTTGACAAAAACATATATCTAGCGAAAAGTGAAGAAAAAACAAATATAAATATAGTCAGGAAGGAGTTAGCTATGTTTGAAGTGCAATAGCGAAAGGAATCACATGCTACATATAGAAGGTAGTTTTTTTCTTTTTTTAATTATGGGAGGGTGCATACTGACAGGTATAAGAACACAACATAGGAAGCAAAGATAAGTTAAAATGAGAAATGAAAAAATAGTTTGCCTAAGTGCAAGACTATAAAGAACTTATAAAATACTGTGAAAGCACAAATGTAAATTCCTTTGAAATCATGAAGCTTTTGTGAAGTGTATAACAAAGGTGTGACTCAAATCCTGTAGTTCCCAACCTCATCCGAGTCTTCATCTCTTATAAATAAGTTGAAAACGAAAGAAAATATACCAGAACTAATATTACCTGAATTCACTCAAGAATCAAGATTCATGAGTCATGAAAACTGAGTTCTCGAGGAATTACATTAAGAAAAAAAGCCAATATAATGGGTAAATATTCGTCAAAACGTTGCCAATTCAAAAAAAATTAAAATTCAAAAATTGAAATATAAATGCAAGAAAAAGCTACTATGATGAAAATTCGATGTCACAAACTGAGAATAAGTCAGCAAAGATATAATGTGTCTAACTCTATTAATACAAAAATATTAACGAGAAACAATAATAATAATAATATTTCAGACATACAAGATCTCTTCAATGTGGCAATAAAGCTTGCCATTTCTAGTGATCCCAGTAGTCGTCCACAAGCTTCCCTTCTTCTCGAGAATCTCTCCCATCCCCATAACCTCGTCCCATCGAGCTACCGAGATCTCCTTCCTTCAAAAATTTCAATAAAAAGAAATGTAGAATACTTCATGGAAGAATTTAATCAAATTGGTTGTGGGCATTACCTGAATTGGAGTTTGGATAAAGAGGGCTTGGTGGTAATGGAGGATAGAAATGAGTTTTTGTGGTGTTCTTCTCCCTCTTCTTCTTGGACACCTCGACCGCCGCTTCTTGCTGATGCTGCCATGGTCAGTGAGAGCAGGCGAAATCGGTGGGGGAGTGCAGCTGGGTTGCAGTAGTCTTATGAACGTCTCGAGATTGAAAATTTCAAATGATGAACTAAAACGGTTATCAAGAGTAAATTAGAAAGAAATTTAAAAAAGGTACAACGTGTAATCTCTTCTCTCAACATTCAAAGTAAGTCGGAAGTATACCCACCAAATGCGCAAGTTATACTGTTATATACCATGCAGTCTCAGCACAAGAGGTGATGGCGTTGGCCGCAGAGAGGTAGCGTCCAAATAAGGTAATTTTTACCATTGCAAAAACATGGGAGACAAACTAGCTACGAGATATGCTGAAAGATTATGCTATAGCATTACATTTATAAATCAACACGAGGAATATATTTTGAACAGGTGGAAAGAATAAGATAAGTTGAATTCCTTGAATTCCTTCCTCCACATATATCAGCTGCAAGTTGAAACCTCAGCAGAAAATCTCAAAATACAGAGCTCAGGTACTTCTATCCTCTCCCTGGCGGCTTTGATAGTTTAGAACTGGAAGCTAAACTCGTCCTGAGAAAATTGCTTGGCTTTGAGGCACGAGAGATTTTGCAAAACAAGCAGAGCAAAAACAAAGAGCGTGATAAACGAAGGCAAAGTGAAATATCAAAAATAAAGAATAGCAACTAGTTAGAAAACTTGTAAATGCAAAATCTCCTAATCATATACAGACAAGAATATTAAATTTCAGGCTGCCGCTCGGTTCAGGCTGCGATTCAGGCTGAATAAGAGGAGAGGGTTAAAAAATTTACAGCGGGCTCGCTTCAGGATACCGCTCGCGCTCGCTGCTCGACGCCGCTTGCCTCTGTCTGTTCACCGTCAGTCGTACACCGTCAGTCGTAGTCTCCTCTCTCCAATCGCCGCCGCTCGCCGCCGCTCGGGCTTAGTGATGAGAAATCTAGGGCTTTTCCTCTACAATAGTTCACTTGATTATTGGATTCATGGGTTGGTGTTTGTGTTATACGGGTCAGTTCGGGTCAATCCATTTAATAAATGGGTCAGTGCAGGTTAACCCGTGTATGATCCGATCCATGTAACTCGACTCATACTCATTATAAATGGGTCGGGTTGATGAGCCGGGTCATAAATTGTCACCCCTAAGTTATATACCATGCAGTCTCAGCATAAGAGGTGATGACGTTGGCCGCAGAGAAGTAGCGTCCAAATCGAGGAGGGAGATACTCGTGGCCGGGGGGAGCGCGATCTTTTTTTACTTTTATTTTTCTTTTTCTGCCAGAGTGTTGTGTCGACGAGACGGGAAAAATTAAGGAGGGGGAAGAGAGAGCGGAGAGAGGTACTATTCAAGACGTGAGAGTTAGATAGCAGCCCCAAGTTTGACCCTTTTCTCGAAGGAGCCCTATACCAAGTTTTGATCCTCTCTCCACAGTCTTTCAAAAAAATTGTTTTACTGTAATAACGATGTCCATACGTTTATTCCTCGCTTTTACGAAGCGCTGAACTCTTTTTTTCTTTTTTTAACTTGGATTTCGATCTCCTCCATTTAGATAGTAATTGGAGAGTATTCAATTATTCAAATTATAATTACCTATTCTAATTTTAAAGATTAAGATATAAATACGTAAGGTTTTTACTATTCACAAAAGTGATCTTCATATTAGTGGCTTACGGGATAAAAGTGATTTTGTAGCTAAGGGGATAATGGGATAATTTGGGAAATTCTATTTCATAGTGTTATTCATTGGGACAATGGAACAAGGATATTATATTTTTGTGTTAATGGTTTTTTGGAACACTAATGAGACAATTTCAACACTTTGGATAAAATTACCTCACTCGTATACAAAAATTTTATCCCAATAGTAAAAATTTACCTCATCCTCCATATTGGAATAATTTTGTTCCACTTTGAAGGCAATTGGGATAATTTTCAAACCTTTTGTATTACTTAACTAATACATGCTAATTATATTATAAATATATGACATGATATATAAAATATAAAGTAATAATATATTCAATATATTATATTATATTATCAGGTAATAAAATAAAATATTATTATAGTTTAATTTATTATTATATAATATATGCTAATTATAATACATGCTAATTATAAAGTAATAAATAAAATGTTATTATAAAGTAATAAATAATACATGCTAATTATAAAGTAATAAATAATACATGCTAATTATAAAGTAATAAATAAAATATTATTATAGTACAACATATTTATTATAATATTATATAATATTTTAATAACATATATTATTATATAATATATTATATTAATTGTAGTTGATATTTTATTGTAGCAATTATATTATAGTGTATTATATTAAACCAACATAATAATATAGTATAATATAATATAACATATTAAAATTAATAAATATGTTAGTATAATACATTTAATTATAAAATATAATATAATGTAAATCATGTTATGTGATTATATTATATTAATATAATAAATATATTATTGTACTATAATATAATATATTTTAGATATTTTTTATATATCATAGTAATCATCATATAATATTATATTATATTTTAAAATTACAATATAATATTTTAAATGGCATTATATTGAATAAAAAATATTATAATATTTTATGCGGTAAATTTTAACCTACTATTAAATACATTATATTGAATACATTTTTTATATGCGGTAAATTCTAATATATTAAATTAGATATTATATTAAATATATATTTTTATATATTATATCAGTTATTATATATATGACATACTATTATACTATAACATAATAATTACTAATATTAATAAAATATTATGATATAATATAATATAATACTATAGTTTGAAATAATATATATATATATATATATATTGTTATGGTAATTCGCCATCTATCTAAAGATAAAAATATCGAGAAACTGTCTTCTTAGGTCCAAAAGAGCTATGGCCCAAGCCAACTTAGCGACCCAAAGCCCAGCCAAGAACAAATCTATTGACCCGCCGAGCGACAAGTCATCTTTACCGACGCGATGCGTGGGATTAGTCGACCCTCATAATCAAGACGATTCATCAAGAGTATGCCCACCTCAGACGACTCCTCAAATAGTCTGCTCAACCATCTACTCGGCTGTCTACTCGGCCAAAGGCTCACTCGACTGTCTGATCGGAAACTCATGGGGATGATTCAAAAAACCGACCCTTCTCTACTAAGGGGATAAGATCCAACTAAGATCCCTTTAGATATACATCAATCAACACTATAATATTGATCGATCCCATCAAGATCACAACTCTGACAAATCTCGTGCATACACAGCTTTCTTTGGCTCACAAGTCACTTCCCAGATATTACTAAGATACCCTCTCCTGTGCTCGAATGACTTTCCTTTCAGAGACTATCCAGCATATGTAGAAGGAAGAACGACGAAGCTGTGACGCCCCTGGGTTCACACAAGGCTGCAGTCCGAGGTGAAACCTAGGATGTCAAACCTGCTATGCACCACACCGTGCAATAACATGTTTCACCATCACAATTAACATCTATCTAGTAGAGTCAACAACTGGTGTAGGTACAAAACAGGTAAAAGACATTACGAGGAATACTGATGAAATGATAATAGTCACATAAATATCTCATCATCCAACAACATAGAAGTACATAGTCAAGATCTGAGTAGATAAACTGAAATACTTGATAAGTCTCAAATACAAATATCTGACAATAAGGAAATAAGGCTCACAGCCTTTACAACTTCTAGAATAATACCCTCAAATGTCTAACCTCACTACAGTGGAGACCAAAGAAAATAATACATAGCTAGAAAGTAAAGCTGAACACTAATGTGGTCCGCTATCAACCTGCGGCTCTCCGTGCTCCTGGCTCGTGACCTGAAAGGGGGAGGGGCAACGAGCGTCAAAGCGCTAGCGAGTAACATCACAACCAACCCCAAGGAAAGAGGGCTCGTTGTAAAAGAAAATACAGATAATATATAATAGATCTAAAATCGTTGATCTCACTAAGGAGGGTTTTGGTATTTAGAGGTTTATAACACGAGAATAGGTACGTCGAGCGAAATAATCCAAACAAGGAAACCCTCATGTATATACCTTATATCTCAAATATATAAACTCCTAAATACTAAACCCAAGGTTCAAGCGCTGAAATAGAAGAAAAACGATAGACATCAGAATAATAATTGTGCTATGACATAACCAACATGAATATCATATTACTACTTACATGAATATCAGGTCAAAATCTTCATAAGTGTCATACCAAATCTATACATTCATCATGTTGTAAAATGTAGAATAATAATCGTATGCAGGGTTATGAATCATGTCCGAAACAAGAACTAACTATCGTAGTTATCCAAACTCGTGGAATAAGTGTCAAATTGTCCAACACGAGGACTGAGAGGGATTATAGTCCAACACGAGGACTTCTATGGATTATAGTCCAACACGAGGACTGTGGAACAATAAAAGAGTGCTTTCTCTCATGTAGTGAAATTTGCTCATTTATCTCATAACCAAAATAATTTATAAGTCCCAAATTTACACCCCAGGTCACCTATCATGCATGGACACGTAGTGGGATCAATTACCATGGTCAGATAATCCAAACAAACCCCCAAATAGGAGTGAAAATATCCAAATACAGCAAAAACTGGAATTATGCCCCAGAGGGTTCGTCGGTCGACCGGTCCGGTCGACCGAACTCTGATACAAAATTTTAGCGGACGCCCGCCAGACACTTCGGTCGACCGGAATTATGTCGCGGTCGACCGAATTTGAGTCGCGGTCGACCGAATATTCGTCGCGGCCGACCGGAACTCCCACTCGAACTCAGCGGTCGACCGCGTCGGTCGACCGCCGAGCGAACAGAACCCAACCTGGGTTCTGTCAGCTGCTGAAACAAAATAAAATAAAAAAAAATCTTGCGATACATGAGTCTTAAATAAATTGGAAACATACTGAAGATACAAAACCACTTCCAAAGCTTAAAAATCTATATTTCCAAGATTTTAAATTTCATGAGAGGTTAATCCAAATCATTTTAATAGCTGTAACGATGTTTTAAACTCTTTTAGGCAAAAACTCAGATCTAGATCTTCTTTAACAGAGCATGGGTGAGTTTTTTTACAACATATAAAGCCCCAAATCCATATTCTATGATATAGTAAACTGTTAGCTAAACAAAAATACGAATTTGGCTCCATAAATCCAATAAAACTCAGATCTTGACGTTTAAATCAAAAGGGGTGGGGGTTGGGCGAGAAGTTACTCGCCTTGGGTGCTGAGGGAAGCCCTAGATCTGAAATAGGTTGATCCCTTTGCTGGAAATCCCAGATCCCACTGAAAATCTCCTAATCTGCTCCCAGATCACCAAAACCAGGTTAGGGTTTTGAGGAAGAAGAGAGGGGGGCTAGGGTTTACGTTTGGGGCTGAGGAGATCTCTCCTGGGTTGAGTTGGTATAAATACCAATTCCCCAACCCGACCCAAAACCCAATAGCCCAACAACTAAAACCCGAAACCAAACCTGTAAAAGAAAAAAAAAACCCGAAACCAAAACCTGGTAATCTCTCTGATCGCTGATCGGTCGACCGCGCCGGTCGACCGCGCCGGTCGACCGATCAGCACAAAAATGCCTGCTGATGGCATTTTACCTGCTGATCGCCAACTCACTCAATTTCTCTCACTTGCAGACACCTGCTGGGCTCCCAAACTCTGATACACATATATATCTTATGCTTATATAGTTATTTATCACAAGGGGACTATCTACTATTACTAATTCACACATATATATACATATATACATTATAGAAATTTTTCGGGGT